ATAAGGGTATTTTGGATGAGACATGCTTGAATAGTATTGTGTGATGTGCAGAACAATGTTCATCATGACTTTTCAGCATTTCTCTCAAACTCACCATAACTTTTCAAAACCTCCAAGAAACCCCATATTAGCAAGTTTTTTTTCCCCAAAAGTCACCATCTACTAGAGCACCATTAGCATTCATTGACATGTCCAAATCAGCATAAATGCAAATTTCATGACCAAACTGCCCCTGAATGGCAAGTTAGCCTTATTAAACATATTTTTATGATTAAAATGCCCTTAAGTGCCCAACTGCCTTATATATAAGATTTCTACTTGTTGGGAGAGATTTTGCTCTCATTGTGATCTTTGAAAGTATTCCAAGGAAGTTGAAAAATGGGTTTTGGGTCGAATAATAACAGAGCACTTGGAATATTGAAAAATGGATTTAATATAACAAAGGGCAAAATGGTAATTTACTAACACTTATTTGTCTCTTTAATATTAAGTTATTGACATGGGTAGGAATGGCAACTGGGCGGGGATCATATTCCCCGTCCCCCAACCTCGATTCTGAAATTAACCCCATCCTTGTTCCCAATCCCTGCTGAGGATAAAATTTGTCCTCCATCCTCGATTCCCGACGGAGATGGATTCCCTGCGGGGACCTGAATCCCTGAATTTTTTTTAGATAATAGTATTTTTTGAAAAATAAATTTATTTAAAATAAATAAAAAATTAAATTATAAATAATGTTTTAAATATGTTTTGATATATATAAAATATAAATAATATAATAATATATATCTAATACAAATAACATTTAATATATATAAATATATAATCGGGGTCAAGGCAGGGCAGGGACCTCATGAATCCCCATCCCCAACCCCATGCCTGACCTGATGGGGTCGGGTGAGTTGGATCCCCATTGAGAATGGAAAAAATTGCCATGCCTAAACATGAGATTTCCTAGACGGCTAGACGTTTTAAAAAGTTAGGTAAAGAGAAATGCTTAAAAAATTATGGTGAGTTTTAGACAATTTCCCTTTAGTGAATTATCTTTGTCATGTTGGTTATTTTTTTTGTGTATTGAATGAACGATCATAATATATTTGAAACTTTGCAATTAGTAGACAACTCAGTTTATTGTAGAGAGAGGGAGCTCCAATTCTCATTCCAATTAGGTCAGTGATCCCTAATTCAACCAAGTCTTAACAAGTAAATAAAACGTCCCAGGTTCCCTCAATCTTTTCATTTGGAAGAGCAAAAGTGGAAAATAAGATAAATTAAAACAAATATCTCGTTTTCCCACCATTTGGTTCACTTCCAGGATTCACCACTAGGGCTATTGCCTGTTTGGATCATGATGTGGATCTGATATGTATATGAATCAAAAATCCAATTAGGCCCAGAACAAATCTTTAGATGATAACGAACCATTAAAATCTTCGTTGTTTCTTCCACGAAAAGCATGCAAGAAAGAACATTTCTATTGTTTGTTACTTCATCAATTAATCAGAAGATTGTCTTTATCTGAGATAACAAAGCGGATAGAACCTTTTGAAATGACGATACCATAATATATGTTAAAATATCCAATTCTGATCCCAACTTTATTCCCGCATAAGCCTCTCTCTCTCACACACACACACGAACGGAAGCATTCAACCGTCAGATTTGAATAATCTCTTGATTGATCAGGTTTCAATAATTGATTCATCAGTCATTAGCCACGCCCTTTTAAATAATCCATAATTAACTTGACAAGGTGGACTCGTCTTTTTCGTATACTAAAGTCTTCCACATGCTGCTGCAGTTTCAAAGCCTTCATTCCAGAGTTCCTTTCTCAAATCCGACGGGGGGAATTTTTTAGGTAATAAAATATGGTGTTTTAATTACCCAAATACCCCCCACCCCATCCCCAATTTAAGTTGTTTCTCTAGACTCTAGTCCCATCCATGGACCATGGGGACGTAAGGTGGAGGTGGACCACACCATTTGTGAGGTTCCCGGTATCACAAACTATGTGCCCTTCAACCAATCCCTAAAGCCAGTTTTATTTATAATTTGGCTTCCGATTGAAAGCAATTTGTCTTCTTGTTAAAACAATCAATCTCATGCAGTTGTCTAGTTTATTTAATTCGATTTTACTATTTTTTAACAGAAATAATTATTTAAAGTTTCCACTTGTTCACATTATTTATCATAAAAAATTAACAAACTTTAGTTATTTATTTTTCTTGACCTTTGTTTTTTTGATGAGTTGCTGGCGGCTTCGTGGAACAAGCCACCTAAATTTGAAGTAATGGTTGCCAATTCTTCCACCTTTGGGTCACTTTTTATTTTTCTTTTTCTTTTTTTTTTTAATGTTGATATCTATTTAATAATGGCAAATAGATCCCTTCTGGGTTGCTGGCATTTTCTCAGTTTTATTCTAAAACAGTATAAGAAAAGATAGGCTATATTAAAGTATCGGTATCGAGTATCATATCGGATAACTTAGATACGGATATGCTTTGAAAACATATGGATGCATATGAAAAATATGGAAACACTTAGATACAATAAAAAAACACATGTATCACACAAGGCATTAATTAAGAGTCCAAGATGGACCTATTATATTTATCCTAATTATTATATCAATTATTTTCTATTTTATTATTTTTACTTTTTAACATTAACAAAAAAAGTTAACTAAATTTTAAATTCTCAAATATAAATTAAATTATCATTTAATAATTTATAAAAATATGTAATTTTAACTTAAAATATATCAAATCAGTTAAGATTTCTAAGATATATATCATATGTAAATTCATAATTTTGAATTATTAAAATAATTATTTCATTATTAAATTTTTTATTTTTATAAATTTTTTTTAAATAAAAAATTGTTTTCATATAAATGTACATTAGTGGATTTGATATATTCAATTTAATATTATATTCTTGAATATCTTGTAAACCTTTTTTATTTTTTGGTAAATGATAAATATATTATCATTTAATGTAAAATAAAATATTAATTAATAATTATAAAAATTATATAAAATTTGTAAGATATATATCATGTGCAAATTTATAAATTTTAAGTAATAAGGTAATTATTCTACTTTTAATATTTTATTTGTATAAATTTATTAAGATTAAAATCATATTTTGATGTAAATATAGAATTGATAGATTATTTATTCCATTTATTTATAAAATACTAATTTTAAATATTATTTATCTTAGTTTTTAGTTGGAGTTGATAAACACAAATATTGATTATTTCTTTGGATATCCATTAATAAAAATTACGTTATTTCGGTAAATATTGCAATCAAAGACTTTCGGTGCCATGTGCACTGTGTTTTGAGTTCAAAAGAAAAATTGCAAATGATTCAAATAGCTTTGATGATCGATAAACAGCTAGGGCCCAACCAGGTTCGAACTGGTGACCTTTTGATCTGCAGTTAAATGCTCTACCACTAAGCTATGGACCCACTCGCGTGATACTATATGTGTAATTTTATATCCTATCTTATTATCATTTGAACCTTGCTTCCATAAAAAAGGAGCATTGGATAATGCAAAATGAAAGAAAAGAAAGAAAGAAAGAAAGACTATACTGGAAATAAATTTATATGATTCTTCGAGGTTTTTAAAATCTGATTGGACAGGGAACCGTTTTGGGGCCTGGTTCCTGGGTTGAATGGTCTGACCGTCTGACCTGAATGAACAGCCCACTCAGACAAAAAAATTAAAAAGACAAAAAAATGACCAAAAACCGCTTCCAGGTCAAATGATTTGATGATTCGATCACCCAGGTCAGTGGTTCGCGGACCAAATCAATGGTTTTGGGCCAAAAAAACAGTTTTGGGGTTAAATGGAACCAATCAGTTGACCGGTTCCAGGTTTTTCCGATCCAACTGTCTGGTCCAATCCAGTTTTGAAAACATTGATATGATTTTTTGGACCTATCCGATGATCCAACAAATTTAGAAGGATTTGCTGGTTGACGGCTCTTGTATGTACGGGTAGCAAGTTGGATGGGCTGGATTGGGTTTAAGGTCAATCAAGACCCAACCCTAAATATTAGGTTTAAAGCCCGAGTCTGGACTGGTTCTGATGTCAAGAGTGATCTTTGCAATCTAGGCCCAGCCCAAACTAAAAATTGGTATTATAGTCGGATCGGGCCTGTTAAGTCCAATGTACTAAAAAGTTGCATAAAACAATTTAGTATCACTAATTTAATCATTTAAATAGAAAATTAGTATTTTACATATAAGTATTCAAGCATGTGTATATACGTGCATCTATATATATATATATGTATGCATCAACATGTATATGTACAAATGTATGTATATGTATGCTCGGGCTGGACTTGGACTACTTTGAGGCTAGGCCGAAGCCCATTTCAAAAATTAGAAAAGTTTGAGGTTTTGGGCCTAGACCCAATTTGTGAACCTAAGAATTGAAAATCCAAGTGCAACCAGTTGAAAAATGTGGGCCGGGGCAACCGAACCAACCTATTTGGGTAGATGAATAGGCCACCCAAAACCGACTGAACTTGAATGAAAACCGACCCAAATATAAAGAGTCAGTTCTGATCGATTTCTCAGTTTGGTCAGATTGGGTCCAGACTATTAAAAGATGACAATGATTTTTTTTTGGTATTCGGTGCCATGCACCATTAATAATTTCCCCCTTGACCCCTTTTTTCCTAAACTGCTGGTTGTGGGATTCAATTCTGCATCAATGCTGGAACAAACCAGCTAACACACCAACAAGTTTGCCCTCGGTTGGTTAAAAGTGATAATGATTTAAGCCCTAAATCATCCTGATTTAAGGGCATAGGTTAATAGTTTAATGGTGGATATAACTTTAAATAGAATAGATTGATGAAGCAAAATTCATGTAACCAACCCCATTTAGTTGGGATAAAGCTTGGATGATGATGATGACAACAACAATTTTTATTAAAACCTATCAATCAGATTTAAACGAGAGAGAGAGAGAGAGAATTGGTCTCTCTTTAGATCCTTTTGATTCTACAAACAAGAAACAATATTGAGGGTTTGACCCTATTTACCAATAATCCAAACAAGAGCATGCCCCATCTCTAAAATGATGAAACCTGCTACGATCCCTCACAATTATCTCCCTGTGGTATATCTTAGAAATAAGTTTTGTGGTTGCATGGCAATCACCACATACTCTAAGGTTCTTTATAATTCGGATAGGGACACTTGAAGTAGAAAAAATAAGAGCAAAAGCAATTGCTAGCCTTTCACTGTGATAGGAGAGAGCATCTTCCTTCTCCTCCTCTTCTATGTCAAACAACACTTCTTTGGTGCTTGGCCTATGACCATATGCGTTTAGCCTCTTGCTTATCTCTTCAATCTTCAAATAAATTTCTTTTGAATGAGGGTGTGCTCTGTCTCCCATGATAAACTCATGTATCTCCCCACCAATCTCAATCAAGCTACATCCAGGCATTTTGTTAATGCCCTGATCTTTCATCACCTTCCTCACCCTCCTCACATCATCCCATCTGTTGATGCTAGCATACATGTTTGATAGGAGTACATAATTTCCACTAGTCTCAGGCTCTAATTGTATTAGGTTCCTGAGTGCAACTTCCCCCAACTCCAAATTACCATGGACTCTGGATGCCCCTAATAAAGACCTCCATAACACTGCATTCGGCTTCATGGGCATGGCCCTAACTATTTCTTCAGCCTCTTTAAGCCGCCCAGCTCGACCAAGAAGGTCCACTAGGCACCCGTAATGCTCTAGTTTTGGCTCAATGCCGTAAGCTTCCTTCATTGATAAGAACAATTTACGACCTTCCTCAACCAAGCCAACATGTGCACACCCACTGATTACTACTACAATGGTGACTTCGTCAGGCCTCACACCGTTATATGTCATCGTGTTAAAAAGATCAAGTGCTTGTTGCCCATGTCCGTGAATCGCAAGCCCTCTGATCATCGCATTGTAACATAATGTGTCCTTTTGGGGCAATTGATCGAAAACCTGTTTTGCTAAATGTAGGCACCCACATTTCCCATACATATCGATCAAAGCAGTGCATAAAAAGCGATTTAAACTAAGATTGTTCTTCAATACATGCGCGTGTGCCCATGTACCTTGAGTAAGAGCACCCAAATCAGCACAGGCACCAATTAAAGCAACAAGGGTGACTTCATTCGGCCTTATTGGGGACAACTGCATCTCACCAAACAGAGACAAGACCTCAACTGCCAAACCAGTGTCTTCACTAGCAGCGTTCGTGCCAACGACATTAGCAGTGCTGCTCCGAGCATAGCAAGCCAAGATAGAATTCCACGTTGCAAGATCAGGTGCTGAAATTTGATTGAAGAGGTACCTAGAATGGGCAAGTTTGCCACATTTAGCGTAAAAATTGAGCAAGGAAGCACGGACGAAATGGTCGGACGTAGGTTCAAGAAATTTCACGACATGGGCATGGAGTGCTCGACCATGGTCGAGCCACGGGTGAGACCCACAAGCCTTGAAAAGAGATGGGTAAGTAAAGTTGTTGGGTCTGAGTGTTTTGTCGGAAAGGATTCGAGAGTAAAGAGAGAAAGATACGTGGGTATAGTCCTGCGCGGCGAGAGAGGAGACGAGAGTGTTGAAGAGAAAGACTGTTGGGTGTTGGATTTGGTTGAAGATGGAGAGTGCGTAGGGTGGGGCTAGTATGGAGGATAAGAGAAGAATCCTACTGATAGGGAAGGTGTGGAGGATGAGACCCATTGTGATCATTTGAGCGTGAACTTGCTTCAGAGTCTTTAGGGTCCTGCATTCTTCTAAGAGGAGAAGGATGGGGTGATTAGATGTAGATTTTGGAGATTTCATGGGGGTATTGATTGACGCTGGAAAGTGTTGGGCATTTTATTAACTCAGAAGCCGCCGATCCTTGATCTTGTGGCAATTGCAGACGGACTAGACGAAAGTAACGAACGATTTAATGATTTTATTCTGAACCTTCCAATCTTGCGTCAATGAGAGATAGACAGAGAGAGAGAGGGGGGATGGGTGGCGAAGTTCATCCATTGGAGTAAATTTTTAGTTAAGAAATCTTTCTAAGACCAGCCAATGCAACCAGAAACCATCGGCCTTTGCATCTTCACTGTGACGAAATCCTCAACCGTGTTCTACTTACTGAAGCAAAAGACAGAAGGGGGCCTATGTCTTTGGCCTCTGCAGATTTGCGCTATGTGCCTTGACAAATGCCAGCTTAGCTTAGGCACATTATTCAGCTTTCAAGATAGATGGGCCTAAGGTCCATAGGATAAAAATAATATACTTTTCATTAACGAATGTATAATAGGCCCAGCTGTAGACTAAGCCCAATACAGGGCATGTTAAAACTTAAAAATTTTACTCGCAGTGCTTGAGCAATTCAGCTTTGCTGGTTGCAAGATTGGAGCAACACTCCCAAGTATAACCTGACTCAGGAAGGGCTTGAAGAGGTTTGGAAGCATAGCTTGGTAAAAAATAGGCTTGATCCATCTGAAATCTATGTTTGGTTTGAAGGAAACCTTGACAAACCTTGTATAGATTTCCCCAGCTTTTCCTTCAAACTAAACATAGCCCAACGTCCCAATAGATACTCCAAGCCCATCTATTCTCTCCTCCAACCGTATCTCCCAAAAAAACAAACTCATTATTCTCTTCTAAGTTATCTCTAATTTCTAATTTCCTACTTATCCTCTCCCTGAGCCCCATCCATTTATACTCCAGATTTAATTTATAGGAATTTCTATATCATCTCCAGATCTCCTCTATTCTCTCCACTTTTCTATAAAATTAGGGCCCTGGTTGTGTTGGGCCCAGCCCATTATGGGATATTGACCCATATTATAGCCCACTCTCCTTCAGCCAACTGTTTTTTTTTTCAAAAAAAAAAAAAAACAAAAGCTAGGGTTAGATAAAGAGAGAAATCGAAATACTGTGCAGATTTCTCAGTGCGCAGAGTTTATCAAATGGCCGGAACTTTCCGATCGAGCAGAAATTTGGATAGTAAGTGGATAACTCATTTTTCTTCATTCTGAACGGTCGGATCTTTGATCAGAGCTCTGAATCGCCGGTTATTTGAGGTCGAACAGAAGCAACTCGTAGTTATTCGGGAAAAGAAAACATTTCGCGGCAGTCTTCATCAATTATTCTGATCAAGGGTCATTTGTGGTTCGATTTGGTTGAAATTTGGTGGAATTGTTCGAAACTCACAGACCTACGATCGGAACGGTGGAGATCTAATTTGGAGTAGTGAAGGTCTCCATGTTGTGGCCTGAACAGTAGCTGCGTTTGTGAGTTTTTCTAACTGTTATTTTCACCGCTTTTGGTATTCTCGTTTGTATGTTTGAGAATCTATATTTGCTCTAAGTTTGTGAGCATATTGTGGTGTTTGACTTGCTGTAATTGTTACCTCAAGTTATTAGTGGAGATTTTTGGTTGGGTCTCCTTGGCCCCGTGGTTTTTACCCTTCACATTGGAGGGGTTTTCCACGTTAAATACCGTGTGTGTCTCTCTTTGCTTGGCTTATGATTGTTTTTGTTGATATCTTGTTTGGAATTGTGATAGCTGAATATCTACAAGTTTTTATTTTTGGGAGAGAAATAGTTTGCGGATAAACTTAGTTTCTTCCCAACAGGTTGGCCCCTCCCAATTTGCATCCTACATCATTTCGTCTCAATTTTTTTTTTTAACTTCAGTGATTTATCTAGTTTGTAATGCTTCTAAAGCTTTGTCGTCTCTCACTAAGTCTTGGAATATGAATGTTTTTGGTAATGTTTTCAGAAGGAAAATACACATTTTGAAAAGAATTGAGGGAATCCAAAAACTTTTGGAAACAAGGCCTTCTCGTTTCCTCAATGATCTTCATTTTTCTCTCCATAAGGAATATTTCAACATCCTAAAACAGGAGGAAATTCTATAGAGCCAAAAAGTCAGATTCAATTGGCTAAAAAATGGTGATTCAAACACTAGATTCTTTCATACTGACTCTTAAGAGGAGTCAGTCAAAAAAGATTTTAGCCCTTAAAGAAAATAATGTGTGGATTACTGATAATGATGAGCTAAAAAAGATGTGCAGAAATCACTTTATTAGTTTATACTCATCATCTTCAGTCAATCGAAATCATAACCTTGATCCTTGTTTTGGCAATGTTCATAACAATATTGATCAATGGTTCACCCTAGTCACAGAACAAGAAATTAGAAGCATTGTTTGGAGTTTGCCAAACAATAGAAGCCCGGGTCCTGATGGCATTACTTCTGAATTTATCAAAAATCATTGGGACATTGTGGGCCCATCTTTTAATGATGCAATCTTTGAATGCATTGACAACTTTGAAATTCCATATTATTTTAACCAATCCCACATTGTTTTAATTCCAAAAGTGAAACACCCTAAAACAATGAATCAATTCTGTCCTATTGGTCTTTGTAACACTATTTACAAGGTAATTGCGAAGCTTATTGTGGCTAGACTCAAACCACTCTTGCCAAAATTCATTTCCCCAAACCAGTGTAGCTTTGTCCCCGGCCGGCATTTAAAGGATAATGTGATCATTTTACATGAAGTTCTTCATTCTTTCAAAAGGAAAAACGATAAGAAAGGTTTTGTTGGAATTAAATTTGACCTTGAAAAAGCTTATGATAAGTTTGATTGGTCATTTATTAAAAAGTTTCTTGATTTCATTAAAATTCCTAAGAGATGGGTTAATTTGATCATGAGTTGCATTACCACCCCTAGTTTTAACATTATCTTTAAAGGTTCAACTCTTGAACCATTTAAACCCACAAAGCGTCTTAGACAAGGGGACCCCCTCTCCCCCTACATATTCCTAATTTGTCTAGAAACTCTTTTGGGTATGCATAATAAAGTTGTGGCTAATGGTGAGATGAAGCCATTTAAATTCTCTAGAACAAGCCCCGAGTTATCTCACATCTTCTATGCAGATGACTTGTTTATTTTTCTAAATGCTTCTATTACTCAGCTCAGTTGTATAAGAAACATCTTGGATAATTTTTGTAATGCTTCTGGAGAAACAATCAACTATAATAAATCTATCTTATTCACATCAAGGAATGTTCCTCATAGACACACTCGAATGCTGGCCAGAAATATTAGGGTTAGGGCTTCTAACAACCTTGATAAATATCTTGGACTCCCCATTTTTAGTGGCAGGGTTACTAAACATACCTTCCATTCTATGGTCAGCCGTGTTCAAACCAAATTAGTAGGATGGAAGGCAAATACTCTTAGTCTTGCTAGTAGATTAACCCTTCTCCAATCTACTTTATCCTTAATTCCCCTCCATGCCATGCAAATTTTTTGTTTACCCTCAAGCACCTGCCAAGATGTAGACAAAGCTAGAAGAAATTTTCTGTGGGAAAGTTCTCTTGATCACAGGAAATTGCATCTCATTAAATGGGAGAAGATTCTGACTCCTAAGCATGTTGGAGGGCTTGGAATTAGGGACCTTCACTCCTTAAATCTAGCTCTTCTCACTAAATTAGCGTGGCACCTCTACTGTAACCAAGATAGTTTGTGGTCCAAAGTCCTAATTAGTAAATACAGTAAGGGAACTGATGTTCTGGACCCATATGTAAAAGGTCATGACTCTTGGATTTGAAAGGGAATAGCTAAAGGTTGTAAATTTCTTAGGGAGGGACTCATACGTGCCATTGGTTATGGAAAAGACACTAATTTTTGGGATGACTCATGGGTTACTAGGACTACTTGTAGGTAGAATCGGTTGCATAGACCTCTCCCAAATGTTAATTTGATGAGTGTTAGACTGTATAACTACTTCTGGTGATTGGAACATCAACTTGATTTCTTCTCTCTTGCCAAGTGATATGGTTGAAAAAAATCATGGCAATCCCTTTAAATTTAGGGTCGCAAAAAAATGACCATTGGATATGGCCTGACACTAAAGATGGTAATGTTTCAACTAAATCAACTTATACATTTATTAGAAAAGAAAATGATCTCCCTGAAGCTCAAGCTTTTAATCTGATTTGGAAAGCTCCATGTCAACTAAGGGTGAAAATATTTTTGTGGCTGCTCTATCATAGAAAACTCCCCACTCACGATGCTCTAATAAAGAGAAATATTCAGGTTCCTAGTGAATGCCCCTTGTGTAATGAAAGCATGGAAATGATTGATCATTTGTTTATGGATTGTAGATTCTATAAGGAAGTTTGGAATTTATATGATAATCATCCCACACCCACTAGTGCACTAAACTTTAAGAGTTGGGTTGAAAGTAATCTTGAGACTAGTAATGCTCTCAGGGCGACTTATTTTAGCTATTTAACTTGACTGATTTGGAGGGCCCAAAATAAAAAAGTGTTCAACAATATCAGTTACACCCCCACTTATATTATAAATCTTGCAAAAAACTATGTTGACAGTTTCCTATGTGCCCAACATACTAATGCTCCTACCAAGAATCAACCTAATTGCAGAGTCTGGAGAGACATCAAATGGGAAGTTTCGGGTGATCAATGGATTAAAATCAATACAGATGGAGCTGTCAAGGGATAGAATGGTGATGCTACAGCTGGGGGTCTTCTCCGAGATCAACTTGGACAATGGAAATGAGGCTTCACCACCTACATTGGAAATTCCTCTATTGACTTGGCATAATTATGGACTGTCAAATGTGGGCTTGTCTTGCTATGGAACTCAGGCTACCACAAAATCATTTTGGAGTCAGATTCGCGTTCCACCATTCAAATTCTTAAGGGTGGTAGGGATGACCATTGGAGTCTTTCTACAATAAGCGAGGAGATCAAAGGTCTTCTGAATAGAGATTGGGAAGTTTGTATCAATCACTACTACAGGGAGGCCAACAGATGTGCTGATTTTATGGCTAATTTAGCTTGGAGCACTAAGATTCAATATAGGGAATTCCTTATACCTCTTAGAGAGCTTAACTTTCTTCTGTTTGTTGATGTTATGGGGGTAGTAACCCCTCGTTTAATTTTGGTTTGAGTCTTTTGGTTTCTATGCTTTGTCTTTTGTTTTTGTTTTTTAGGCTCTATCAGATGAATAAAAAAAAAAGCCCATGCATCGCACAGACCCCCTGCTAGTATTCTTCTAAGTTCTACCCACTTAGACAATTGACAGGCCATGTACTACTAATCAAGGTTTTCGAACCACCGTTGACCCGAATGGTCG